GCACGTGTCACCTCCTGTTCTGGTGACATCCCGGAATCTTTGCTCTCTGGCCAGTTCGTAATCATCTCTAGTATGGGCAGCTGGGGTTCCATATTGAGCCCGTTCTGTTATCAACGCAACCCATTTACTCCACGTGGCATCTGTTGCATGTGTGTGGAGGAAGCCTTTCTTTGAACATCCACCCCAGCACCGGCAGTTGGGGTGCCAGGAGGAGATGTGTTTCAGTGCCGACCACTTCTGAGGCAGCCCGACCTCTTTGTACGCTGCCAGTATCTCCTTCTCAGTTGGTGTGTAATTAGCTTCAGAGCCTTTGTATCCCCGGCTCCAAAAGCCCAGAGGTTGGCCTCGGGCTCCGGCTGTGGCCCGGGCCTGTGCGTCTGCACATTTTCAGCATTTGTGAGAAATTTAACTTTGGACTTTCCCGTCAGGTCCTCAAAGAGCAAAATATAACACGGATACAGGAAAACCCTCCCAGCATTCCTCAGAAGTCCTCCAGGAAATCCTGAAGGAGCTGGACCAGACCATGCCAGACCATGGTAGGTGTGTGTCCCTGTTAAGCAGAAGCCTTGGCAAGCTCAGGTTTTAGATGCGTGGAGGGACAAGGCATAGCCTGCCCAGTAGGAAGGGGCCGACCAGAGCCTCCCTGTGGCAACGCTCAGCTTCAGGCCTTGCGGGCGCTGGCGAGCTGCAGAGATGGTCGAGTCTCTGCTGGCAGCTGGGGTTCCAGCCGAGCCCCAGGAACCGCTGCTGCCCCAATTACAGCCTTACTGGGGCCAGAGCTGTTCTGGGTAGATGGTGGTGTCCAGCTGGCAGGAGCTGGTGGCACTCAGGCCTCGAGTGCGGGAGGGACTTGCTGAGGAGCTGGTTGCTGCTCAGTGCTGAGAGGGCAGCAGCCTGCCAGTGGCCGGTGGGGAGAGTGCAGAGGATGCGCAGGCAGCTGGGGCTGGCTGAGACCAGCAGACAGTGCTGGGGCTGCAGGCCTGCCCTGGCCAGGATGGAGCAGTCCCAGCTTCACAGCCTGCTCCGAGTCCCTGGTGTTCCTTGATGTCTGAGGCCTCTCGGTGACGCCTCGGTGTCAGGGACGGGTGAAAGCTGGACACCCAGCGTGAGGCCGGACACCTGACCTGAAGGCAGTGAAAAGGAAGGACTGTGAATTCTGTCTTGAGTGCCTTAGATCTCTGCTTCTAGCTGTGCTATTGAATACTGTCTGGTGGTTTTCTTCTTGTTTTGGGAGACCGTGGGAAGTGCTGCTCAGAAAACCTCTGTCCCCAGCTCAGCTGGCTATGGCATCTTCCTGTCCTCTCTGAAGGACGCAACCTGCTATCACCTTGCAGTTTGCCAAAAACGCACTAAGTGGAATGTGAAGAAGATCACGTGCAGTCTCCTAGTCTCTGGGCAGGTCAGGATTTGCTGCTAAACTGGATAGGTTCTAGTGCTGAAAGCCTTCTCCATGAATGACACCTTGCTTGGACCTGTGACTAGGTGCACCCCCAAATGTCCAGGCCTTGTTTCTTAGCACTGTGATGTATTTTGAGAATTACTGCCCTCGGAAGGCATCATCATCCCAATGAGAGATGGCTACTTCTGCTTAATCTGACCTTCTTTCTTTCTAGAGATGGACCGTGAGGCTATGGAGAAGGAAGAATTTGGGGAAGGAGACAGCCAGGCGGTGCCAGCCTCTGATGAGGCAATTCAATCAGCGGGTGAGCCAGGTAATTGCTGTCCTTGAGTCACCCAGTGTCGTACATCAAACCTCTCCCTGTCGCAGGCTCTGCCCCCAGTGCCCGCTAATGCACACCCTGTCAGCATCACAGCCCACAGCGGTTAGTGCAGAGCAAGTGTTTGAAAAGAAGCCAGGAATGGCTCTCTGAGGAGGACTGTCACCTCTGGGGTGTGGAGTTTTTTGGTTTCAGACAGATGCTCACCTCCCAGCACAGCCCATCACAGGACTTTCAGAACTTTGCCAGCTGGGAAACAAGAGCATCTCAGCCACGCTCAGCAGACAGTGGGCAATGGGACTCAACCAAACGGGCCTCCCGCAACACCTGCTTCCCAGAGCTTGCTGTGGGTGCCTGGAGGCCCCGGGCACAGCAGAGGGGGATCCCTCCTGGGACCTGAGGGCCAAAGGGGTGCACTGACAGATCGGGCACAGGCTTAGAGGGAACCTGCACCACCCTTCTGCACCCTCTGTGCCTGAGCCATGACTTTTCTCTGAGGCATTACCTTTCTCTGACTCTTGGCAGTGCTGTCCAACTCCAGGGAATACTACTACACCAGGATTGAAAGAATTCTTGAAAACAATTAAGTTAAACACAGACCCCGGGCTAAAATAAGAAGAAATTTAATACAACAGTGTGATGAAACAATCTGAATAGCAGCAGTGGCAATGTTAACAACAATAAACAGCAATAACAGTGAACAGGACAAAAGATATATAGAGAAATACTGCAAAATGGTCAGGGAACAAGCCCACCGCGTGTGTCGCAACCCCCAAAACCAAAAGCGAACGTAAAAGGGCTCCACCCCTGGACCTGATGTCATGGTATGAATAACCCAGCTGGAGATCTCTTCCCCCTCTCTCTTTGCTGGGGAAAACTTGACCCAACCCTAGTTGAACCAGGACAACGACAAACACCGAATTGTGCAAAATGGCAACTTTATTGTTCCAACAAGCCTTTTTATGACTTTATGAAGCATATGTGTCCGTATATGAATGGTTTCATTAGAGACTAACAGTTCACAGCTGGATGCCCTCTTCTCTGTTGCAGCCTCAATGACCTTCCTCTCCTTGCGGTCAGGCAGTTCCAGTCTGGCATTCCTTAATCTTCTCAGCTCTTCTCGGGACTTTCAAGCCTCTTAAGGGTACATGCTTATCTGCCAAAAGTCAGTATCAAACTTACATTCTGATCCCTCAGACTAGCCCAGGTCTCCCATAGTACCAGTACTGGTTCCCAGCTCCAAGCATGGGAGGAGACACTGGGCGGCTCAGGCAGCATGCTCTGCCTGAGCCAGAAGGTCACTGGGGCACAAGGGGCAGCCCTGGCTCTGAGTTCAGGGAGGAGCAGTGTGGGAGGCTCCCATGCTCCAGCCTTACCGTGGTCCTGGCTGATAGTAGGATACAGGCAGGTACCCCTGCAGTGCACCTGGTACATTCGGTTTGTCCCCAGAACCTCAAAATGCAGCATCTGATCAAACTGCCCCGGCACGGTGGAGCTGAATTGGACCTTCAGTTCCACCTCGCCGTGGGCAGGCACTATCCACCGGCAGCTGCTCAGCCTGGCAATGAAAGAGGAGGCTTCAGACATTGCTAACGAGAAAACGAGAGAAGGAGGCAGCTCATGGACTCGCCATCCCATGGAGACACCGGCAGAGGGTCCCTGCGGAGCTGGGGACGATAGACCCCGCTTGGCAAGATGGACGTGAAGCAGAGGGATCACCTCCTCCCTCACGGCTCACCTGACGGATCTCCCCGGGGATGGGACCGTGTCCATGTCGCTTTGGTGCGCCCCGGGGGGCTGTGTGGGTGCTCCCGTGCCCGGCACCTGGAGACCTCTCCTGGCTGGAGACCTTGCCCGGCTGGAGCTCCGCTTCCTCCTCACAGCCTCCGGCCTGCCCGCGGCTTTCTCCTTCCCCGACTGGCCCCTGCTTGGCGTGACCTGCTCCTCTGACACCTTCACACCAAGGCAGAGAGGAAAGGGAGAGAGGTGAGACCTGCCCTGAGACACCCCCATCCCAGAGAGAAAGCTGCAGGTTTGTTAACAGACGGGAGAGAGAATAAACCACCAACCACCTCTGCCCATGGATTTGGTCTTCCTTATTGGACTTTGTTTTGCCTACAACACTCCTCCTTGCCCAGGACCCTCTCCTCAAGGGAAGTTGAAGGGTTTAGCTGATTTTTTTTTCCTCTCATTTTACAGAACTGCCCATGTTTTAAGCAGAGCTGTCTCTTTCAGACAGACAGGAGTGGTGCCTGCAGACATGGGGCCCTGTCATGTCTTCACTGCCCTTCCACAGTGATCCTTTTCCATCTCACCCGCCCCCCCATGCCCCCATCCAGCCTGGATCCTGCCCTGGCACCTTCACTGCAGGCACATCCAAGAGACTTCTGGTGTCCTTCTTTTCTTCTTCTGCAGTGGCACCTTCGGGCACAACAAAGGCGAAGTGCTCGAGGGCTTCTCCTGCTGCAGGGACCATCCGCTTCTCTGGGTAGCGGATCACAGAGTAGAAAGCCGTAGGTGGAATGGGAGGCCCCGAGGGACCCAGTCCCAGGTCATCCAGGACCTAAAGCATAAGAGAAAACCCTGTTTATACTCCCGTCACCTTCATCCTCACACTCCCTGAAAGGCACTGAGCTTTTGACAATGGGTTTTTTTGTGCATATGGAGTACAGTGATTTTTTATGCCCAGCAGGGTGGGCAGGCTCCAGAGCAGTGCCAGGACCTACAAGTGGGACCTAGAGAGAAATCTGAGTGACTCAGCTGAAGAAAACCATGACCAGGAGCTGCCCTACCCTGGGACCATTTTGAATGATTTCCAGACTGGGAAACTCTGAACAGAGAGGATGTTTGAACAGAGAGCCCTCCCTCTTCCCCCTGACCTGAGGGATGGCAAGAACTTCCCCAGCCACGTGGCTGCTGTGAAGCCATTGTGGAACATCATCAGTGGCCTGGACAAGGCTCTGTGCTGTTGTCACCTGGCGGGACACAATGCGCCAGGGCCCAGACCATGGCAGGCTCCGCATCTGAACCTCACAAAGCTTTACCTGCTCTGCTGCTGGCAGCTTGCCACTCTCCAGGATCGCCCTCGTCACATCTGCAGGGCTCAGCACCTGGATGTCCAAGCAGGGCACCCCAATGTCCTGGCCTCTGGCTGACCCTTCTGCACCTTCCCCTTCCAGCCCAGGTAACTTGGAGTCCTCCGGAGCATTCAGTTTTTCCAGACACTCCTTCTCCAGCCTCTCCTGGCGCTTCTTCTCTCTGTTCTTTTGGCTCCTGCGATGGTGCTGACCTTGTACGTGGTGCTGCACCACTTCCTGGTTCAGAGGGGACAGCAGGAAACCCCGAGCCCTGTCCCAGGTTGACAAAATATGTGTGACATCCTTCTGCCAATCCTCGTAGATCTTAAACCTCAGGGCCAAGTTCTCACTGTCACTCTGCACCTCGGTTTTGGTTTCCCCCTCTTCTGGGTCCACCGGTTGTACAACCTCCGCTGGGCAGACATCTGTCAGGGGAGCCTTGCTCTGCTTTTTCTTGTCTTCCTTGTCACTTGCAAGAGAGTCCAGGTGCTCCTTTGCAGATTCCGTCTTCTCTCCCCCCTTGGTGACATCGGACAGGTTGCCGATGGATGCGCTGCTGTTGCTGGTGGATGCGTTTGTATTCTGGGCAGGAGGAGCAGGAAAAAGCGGTGAGCATTTCCAAGCACCAACTGACACTAAACTCCCCAGCGCCAGAGTGATGAGGAGTCCTGCAAACCAGCTGAGAAACAGAACAGCTTCCCTGACCCAAACAGGGAACTTAAGACACCACCATACTCCTGTGCAGTCCTCTGGGCATGTTTCTGGTGTGCTGAGCATCCATCCCTGTGTCTGGCTGACACTTTGGGAAGTCTGGCTGCTAATGAATACCTAGAGGGCCTGGTGGTATCTCCTGCCAGGCAGGTAGCAAAAGACACCACATCCCAGGCGGGTCAGGGCTCAGAGGTGTAAGTCACATGCAGAACGGGGACAAATGCTGGACTAAAACTATCTAGGGCTTGGAGTTATGTGAAGCCATGACTCAAAGGCAGCATGGCCCTAGAAGAGCAGCTCTACCCAACAAACCCAGGCAAAAGTACCCCAGGTGAAGCAGCAGCAGGATCAAACACTGGCTGCTGTTTCCCAGCACAGCCCCGTGTGTTACCGACGGCCAGGTGCTCATCCCCAGCACTGCGGGTGGCTGCTGGCTGTGCCAGGAATCGTACGGCTCAGCAGGAGGGGCCCCAGGGCTTTTACTCCTCTCTATAAACACAACCACCTACCTGCCCGACTCCAGGCTGGCTTTTCTTCCTTGCCGCATTATCTTTGTCTTTCCCAAGCTTTCTCTTGGCCCACTGAGATGACTTCTTCAGCTCTTCTTCCTCCCTCAAGCGTTCTAGCTTTTCCTCAAGCTCTCGAGCCAGCTGCTCCATCTCCCTTCAGCAAGACAAACAAAACATCCCCGAGAGTCACCGACAGAAATCTGGGCTTTTTGCAATCCCAGCTGGTCCCGCACTTCATTCACTGACCCTGAGGCCAGGCACAACCGTTAGACCAGCTCTGTGGACTTCCCGCAACCTGGGGAGGCTGGGACATGCAAAGTGCGGGAAAGTGGGAGGGGACCTCCAGGGCCAGCCAAATCTAGGCTTTGCTGTCACAAGGTCTAAATTGCACTACTTCTCCAGTAAGGTCCACCTGGACACCTCCAGCAATGCTGCCAAAGACTGACTGATCCAGGGAAACAAACTTCAGCTGGGGCTGAAAGAAGTGCTGACACACAGGCTCACTTTAAGCAAGTCCCTCCCCAAGTTTCAGGCAGGAGTTAAGAGAGGCATAAGCTTATCCTGTGTATCCTCCTGAACAGGGCTGCTTTGCTGGATCAGAGCTTCTCCCAGGCTCACCTGCTGTTGCAGCTGAAGCTGAGCCTAGGAGAAACCAGCTTTATGGCTGGTGTCACTCAGTAAGGAAAACCCTGGGAGCTCAGCAGTGCAAGGGCCTCACCTACACCAGGACTGGGATCTAAACCAAGCCAGCACAGCTGCGCCTCACACCAACCCACACCACAACCCCTCTGGTTTGGAGAAGGGGGGCAATGAAGAAGATGAGAATGAACATCATTAACTTAGAGACACCTGTAAGCACAGTGGCAAGGCAAACACAGAGCCCAGCTCCCTGCAGCTTGTGTCTAAGCCGAAGGGCTCACCACTAAAGCAGAGAGAGGGTGTTCTTATCTCACCGGAGGAAGGTGCCTTCTCTGCTGGGAACCAGGGAGGTGGAACTGGCAATCCTTGTGCTGCTGGTAATTAATGCTTTTGGCCTTGGTAACCCCTCTGAGCTCAACCAAGGTCTCCAGAGCAGGGAAACCCTTCGGGGACACTATCCTGGGGAGGCACCCATAGAAGGCTTACAGACCTTTTCTTCCTCTCACGCTGGACTTGCAGTATACTGTTATCAAAGTGAATTTTCTCCTCCTCGGTGAGGGCATCATACTCGTCCTCGTTCATCTCCCAGAGGCGTGCTTTTTCCCTCCTGGCAGCTTCTTCCTGCTCCCGTCCTTCAGCACAGACCAGAGGAGAAATTGTCAGTGCCTGCTAGCAGAGCTTGTTGCTCTGGGTGAGCTGCCAGGATTCACAACTCTGTCCCGACCCAGCCTATCATCCTGCCAGGAGATACTGGCGAGCTCACATCCCTGCTTCAAAATTCAGACAGGCCCCCAAACTATCGCTGCTCAGTGAGTTCCCATGCCTGGATGGCTCACACGCCCCAGCGCCATGGACGGCTGGCTGGCGGTTAGTTATTGAGCCACAGCAGCTTACACTTGTGCCCAAGCTTTAATGTTAGAGACTGAGGTCAACCTCAGCATTGCTGTATATTAAGCAACTGTAAGCTGAATGCTGACTACATCAAGGCAGAAGGTGGAAGGATTAATAAAAACACCTTTTACAAGTTCTGCTGGTAACCCAGATACACACGGGTAAGGTTGAGGGCTTGAGAGAGAACATTTGAGTTACAGAGGTGAAGAGTCTCACCTTCCTGCTCTTTTGCAGCCATCTCCCTGGCTTTCCAAGAAGCATAATCCTGGAACAGGTTCACAAAATAGATGTAAGGCCGATTTCTGACAGCTTTGAGCAGGCAGAGGAGAGCAGACGCCATGTTGCGTGCAAAAAGTGTCTCCAGGCCATCAAACACCACTCCCTGGTAGCAGTCGCTCAGCTGCAGATAAAGCCAAAAAGGAAGAGAAAGTCAGCTGTCGCATGCATTGGGTTCTCAGCCAGTCACTAAAGCCTGATGTCAGAGATCACCAGCCATCACAGTTCCAAGTGCAGCAGCTCAGACAAGCTCTGATCTTTCCCCGCACTCTGCCAGGTTATGGCATCTGCAGCTTCACCCACGGATCCCTGCACGCAGCCCAGGACTCCTCCAAGAGCAGGCACAGCACTCCTCCTCCTCTCTGAATTGTACCTCGCTGCCTGTCATCCTGTAGAAAGAACGCCCCCACGCCACGTACCTGCAGCCTGTCAGAGAGGATGGCCACCAGCAGGTCCTCGGGCAGCACGCAGCTCCTAAAGCCCAGCTCTCCTGATGTGCTGCCACCGATGCTCAGCGATTGCTGCTCAGGAACGCAGGGAAGGGGAGAGAGGTGAGAACTTGATGAGCCTTGTAATGTTGAACACCACCAGAAAAATCAACTGCTTTGGAAACCCCCAAACAATTCCAACTGCTGGGCTTGGAGCTGGGCTTTCTCACTAGCAGGAGACTAGAACAACACTGCAGGCCAGCAGCTCCAGGGGAGCACGCTGGAGGGTGCATGCATGGCCAGCAGAGACCCAAGCTCACAAGCCCCCAGTGCAGCATCCTGCAGCTTTGCCCACGGCTGCAGCCACATTAGCCAGGACTGCACTTTGCCAACAAACAGCTGAGATGCCGTAGAGTGTTTCTGCCAGGGTTTCATTCCCAGCTCGAGCCATGCCCAGCCTGCCCAGCTGGCTCTCTGCACTACAGAACCCTGCACCAGGTTCTGGGTGAAAACAGAGCCTCCATTGGAAGCAGCCCCTTCACTTCTCAGAGGCAACAGAAAGGTCCCAGGCATTAACCAGTGCAGGTCGTGCTTCACCTGGGAGCCTGTCAGATCCATCAGATGCTGCTTCTGGGATCGGGTTGTGGAGCCATCTGTCTTCTTCTCGCCTGCTGCAGCACTCACCTGGCTTTGGGAGCTGATGGACTGCAGGCTGACTTTGTCCACAGAGCTGTACCGGCTCGTGTCTAGGCTGCGCTTGGCCTTGGTGTGGAACTGCTTGCTGAGGGACTCATCTGCATTGTGACCTGCGGAGGGGACAGACTCTCAGTGGGGAGCAAGCAGGCACCTTCCACCCCAACGGGCACAGCCCTGCGCCCTGGCAGGGACACGGCCCTCGTCCCCCAGCCTGCCGGGCACTAGCAGCACCCATTTCCAGAAGTAGTTCCTGCCCTGCTTCTCTTTTTTAGCATGGTGAAGCACACCACCTGATACTGGATTTTAAAGCCAGAGTTTTTAAGGCACAGCTTCATGTCCCTCCTCACAAATGTGCACGCAGGTGACACCGCACAGTGGCTCCCCTATGGATCAAGCCAAGGCTCCATCCTCCAGGAGCATCACTTCTGTACCTTGCGCCCATCCTGCATTCTCACATGGAGACAGTAACGTGCAGCCCTGCCCCAGCTGCATCCCCCATCTCCACTGGAGCTAAATCCTCCGCATGGGCTAACCCCACCTGGGGCCCAGACCCTTCTTCCTTCTGCCAGCTCCCAACCCAACCAGGTTCAAAGCTGAGCAATGCAAAACTTCCCCCACCAGAACCAGGGTATGGCCTCACTCTGCAGAGCTCGGGGCACCAACTGCCCAACCAGGTTTTCTAAAAGTCTCTGGTGTCAGGTGCAGAACAGCACCACATGCACGAGCTGTGTGACCTGACAGTGAGTATAGGGAAACCTCTGGAGAAAAGAGTCTCATCTGAAACTCTGGGAAGTTATTCTTCCCTTCCTCTCCTGTTTCTGAAGCCACACTCAAAGTCAGTTGTCTAGTGCTTCACGAGCGGCTTCAGAGGGCTTCTTCCTTGTTCAAGTGGGCATCAGTTGTGCCTGATGGCCACGAGGAGTCAGCTGGATTCAGCTTTGAGGAAATGTAAAAACCCCTGAGAAGAATACAGGTGTGCTTCACCACTCCTAGGAACAGGAGTATGTGCTGAGAAGCCCAGAGGCAGTAAAAGTGCCCCTGTCTGAGCCCTTAAAACAGAGATTATTTTTTTTAATAACACGAAATGTTTTATGAAATGGCTTTGCATTTCTACACGCTGCACCCATGTTCCCTAAGAGGCTGTCAGACTCCCTCTCTGGAGCAAGCAGAAGTGGATGGTCAGGGTGGGTTTCTGAAGCGCTGCTCTGGGTCCAGCATGTCTCCTTACCGGCACCCTCTGCCTCCTTGCAGCTCTGCTCGGTGACATCTCCGATGCACAGCTCCCGGGCACGCAGCCCTGCCAAGCTGCTCCTGTCTGAGATGGCTTCTGTCACCACGGTGTCGATGGACAAGCAGGCAGCGCCGTAGTATTTGGACAGGGCAACCGCTGCCGCCGTCTTTCCTTGAGAGAGAGGAAGACTGCTTGGTGACACTTGCACGTGAAGCATTTTCAGTGACAGGTCTAGAAAGTCCCCAGACAGGATTTCAAAGTTTCAAGGACAGTGGGAAATCAAATGCCCCTTTAGGGGAGACCATGAGGGAGGGAGCTGAGCATGGCTAGAAGCGTTGTCCTCTAGACCCAGGTGGATCACCTCCACCTCACACCCAGCTGAGCACTTTGTCCCTCGTGGTGACCTCAACCCTGGGCCAGGACATTGTTTCGAGCCCGGTCCCGCCACCCCTGTGCTGGCCAGTGCTGCCTCAGGCAACGTCTGGGCACGGGCTGGGGGTCAGTGTGGGCGAGGGACCGCACTCAATGAGGCAAGCTGGTCACTAGGCATCGTGCTCCCACCAAGCAACGGGGACACGGCCACCGTGTGTGGGGAAGGATAGCCTGGCTGTGTGGACATAGGGTGAGCCACAGCACTTGCCCCCGCTGGTGAAGGCCTGGGACCACTTCATGTACCAGCAGGGCTGTGGCTTACCTCGCTTCGCTTCAACTGGTCAACCAAGCACAACGGCCCACCAGGACGGGTCTCTCCTGCGCCCCCTGCCCTCCTTGCAGCCACGGGCTCGGCTCACCTACCTGTCAGGGGTGCCCCATGGATGATGACGACTATCCCTCTGCGGTCTTGGGCCGCACGCCCCTCTGCAGAGATATCGATGCCAAGGTGGCGTGCGATGGCCCTATGGACAGGACTGTCGGCCACTTCCCCTGCGGCCACATTGCTGCTGGTGACGCTCTGCCCATGCTCTGCTGTGAGGAACCAGATAGAAAAGTCAGCCTCCTGCTTACCTATGACCCTGATCATCCTCCCCATCCCCTCAGATCCTGGTAGAGAAGACTCTGCTGAAACCAACACCACACTGAGGTCTCACCATGCCCCTCCTTTAGGCTTGTGCAGATCAGGGTCTGCCCTAGATGGTGGTCAAGGTGCCTCTTCAGAGTATAGGAAATGGTGTGGCAGAAAGAGGAAAGAACAAGCATTTGGCAATACCTAACAGGACTGGGCCAAATCTCCCATCACGTCAACATGGTGCTGGGTCCTGCTGAGGAAGGGGTGGACAGGCAGAACCAGGCATTTTACACTGTCCCAAGGGAGAGGCTCCATTTGCACATCGAGTGATTATCCAAAAGCTGGATGCTTTAGGAATATTACTCCAGGAGATGTTGCTGGGCTCTGAATTCATCATAACAGCATTTGCAAAGAGCTCCCACCTTTGCCCTTAGGAGGTCACCAAAAGCCATCTCGGCTTGCAGTGTCACGCAGGACAGAGAACACTGCCCTGCCTAGGAAAGGGAACAGCATCACCCTCATCCCAGCATCTCCTGGGGGAAAAGGTGCTCATTTGGCAAAACTGGGGAGAACCTCTCTGGCCTCTCACTTGTCCCTGCCCTATCTGCAACATGACCCATCCCCTGTCTTTTCTCAACACCTTACTCCTCCTCCTCCTCATTCAGATTTAGAGTCCACCTCGTTGGACTGGCTTTTATCAAACACGGAGGAAAAAACAAATGAGCTCTGGGATGAGACAGTGTGAATGATCCCAGCAGAGGACTTTCTTCCTTGATCTGACAGAGACTGGACATCTTCAAAGTTTGCATGTTACAAGCCACAGACTTTCACGCTGGAATTCCTCCACCAAGCTGGGGAATGGGTGGCTGCTGGAAGCCTGGGCTTCCTGTGGAGAGCTCAGGGTGTGCGGGCTGGACTCCCCACTGTGTCCACCCTCAGGACAGCCAATGCCAAACCCTCACCGTTGTCCTGGCCTGCTGGTTCCCCAGTCTTGGACTCCTCATCCTGCAGCCTCTTCTGGTCCTGATAGTACTCCAGCAGCTCTGGGGGCAGCTTCTCACCCGGGGCACGTGGAGGCAGCAATAAGGTGTTATGGCAGTCATAATCTTTAAGCATCTGCAGGATCTGTGCATGTAGGGAAGAGAAGCCATATGCAGGGCGTGTTTCTAACAACACGGACTACCCAGGCCCCTCCACAGTCTGCCAGAGAGCTGGATAACCCTGAAATGCCACCAGGCTTTGCCCTGGGGACTGTCTCCATCTCCCTGGCATGAACCTGGGAATACTGGAGCACTGTGAAGATACGGGAGCGTGCACATGGGGACCAGAGCTTCCCTCTCACCTGCTCCTCAGCAAGGTACTGCTGGTCGAACTCCAGAGAGTAAAACTCGATGGGGAACTTGCATGGGTTCTTCACCACCACCGTCCCCTCTGCTCCACGGCTGTACGGCAGCAATGGTCCCAGCTCAAGCACTGGGGGGCTGAACTCCAGCTGTGGCTCCAGCCCACGCCCTGAAACATGCAGCTGGAGGTTCTGGCTGCTCTGGCAAACATTAATCTTCAGCTTGCTTCTGTAGGACTTCTGAAAAGAGAGAGGCACAGAAAACTCCTCCATGAAGTCCCAGGTGACAGGGCCTCAAATTCAACTCTTGCCCCAGGGCAGGGGTGTCACCAGTACCTCTAAGGGGAATGGAAAACAGATATTTACTTCCAGCAGGGGCTACAGCATCTGCATGCTGGCTCTGAGGAACTGGGATGAATCCTGGTGTGAAGTCTAACTGGCTATTTTGGTGTCAGATGAATCTAAAATGCAGTATCAGATGTTTCACCTAGTCGCAAGGGAGTGTGATGCTCATGAGAAAGGTCCTGAGGGTTATGTTGCTCAAACACAGTCCTGGCACTGCTGCATCAGGCAAACATCAGCTCTATGAATGAGGCAGATGAGCTCTCACTGGCTAGAAATAAGGGTCGTCTTCTCTGCCCAGTGTTTGGCTCTGGTCAAAGCCAGACACAGGTGTAACCAACCAGCAATTAAAACATCCCTGGGACTGTTCCCAGGCACAGAAGCACTTGTGTCCATCCTGTTACCCACTGCCAGTTTCCAACTCACGGTGGCCACAGGCAAACTGCCTTTGGGAACGCCCCATCATTTCAGCTGACTCCCAGAGTGCCTGGGAACGTGCAGGCAGGCTGAACCAGAGCCACAGGGACTGCTGGCAGCAACCACTGCAGGCGACTGTCCTGCCGTGCACAGGAAGGTGCCCGGTGGCTGTTTTGCCTGCTGGTATGAGCAGCAGGACTTGCCTAGATTGGCCCTTGGAGAGTTATCCCCTGTGAGCGCGCCAGCTGCTCTGCACCAGGGTGCTGCAGCCTCAAACAGGCTCCTGCAAGGGGGAGTCGAAGGCAGATTTCCCCCCATGTGCCAAGAGGCAGCCACCCCAGCATGCCCTGATGCTCTCTGAGCAAGCTCCCCGGGGGGATTTCAAAGCCCCTCTCAGAAGAATGTGCTGCATGGGAAACTGAGGCACAGTGGGTACGGGGCTTGCAGAAAGCTCTCTGTGGAGGCAGACGCCGTCTCCTCCTCCCTGTGCTGGGCTCTCGTTACCACACCGCCCTGCCAGACCTCCTGGGGGTGACACTCGCCCATCTCACCTCTTCTGTGGGTGAAAACCTCACTCGCACGTTGCATCGCTGTCCCGGAGCGAGGGTTCCAGCCGAGGGCAGCGCCTCGAAGACACGTGGCTGGGCTTTCAACTTCTGGGGCACCTTCTGACGCACCCCCGCTGGCCAATGCTTGTCCACCTGAGCACAAAAAACAATTGTGTGAGGTCTCCTCGGTCTGCGAGGACAGACCCTCGGTCCCTGCAGCTCTGAGACACAGTCATGGTGCTGAGGGCACCCACAGCCAAACCAGCCGAGGCCACCCCTGGCCTGAACTGGAGGGAAAACACATCAGTAGGGCAGGCAGATGGGGAGGCACCATCCTCAGAAGAGGAGGAGTGGGGGAAGGTGGCAGAGAAGCGAAGCACCAGCTAATGCCCAGGTCCAGGTGAGCCAGCCTTGCTCTGCACCCTCCAAAGCTTACTCAGACAAGCCGTAGCCCAGGTGCTCACACAGCCACAGGGGCAGAAAGGGCAAGAGAGGCAAAGAAAACCCAACCGAGAAGGTGCGTGTTACACGCTGTGCTTTACCTTCTTAACAGGCTCATTTATAGTGATGAGCCAGTTACAGGGGACCTGGAGCTGATTGTGGAGCTGGATGGTTTCTTCCTGGCACTGGCCACACTGGAGAGTGGAGAACTCCAGCCTGTCCCTGGAGACGCAGAGGGCTGGCATGGCCACGCTGGCACGGAGGCGGACATGGAACGTGGGGCCTCCTGCTACCTAGGGGAGGACAGAGCATCCAGCTGAGAGCCCTGGTGACATCTGCTACTGTCCCCAACATGCCCCGAGAGGCACACGGGCACAGTGGGGCGAGGAAGCACGCCGCAGGTACCTTGATGGGCAGGAGCACGACCACCTCTCCCAGCGGCAGGTTGGCACTCTGTGGGTCGAAGCGCACTTCAAATGTCTTGCTCTCGCGGCAGGGCAGGTGCTTCACGTGGTCCAGCTCCACACTGAAACCTTGAACAGATGAAAATAAAGCAGCTGAGATACACAATCAACATGAACGTGTCACAAGCACGTTAAGGCCGTATGTTCTGGCTGGCAGCTCTGTGAAGGACCCCGTTGTACCTGTGGAGAAGACTGCCACTCCTTCTCCCTTGTCACTGCACAAGGAGAAAGGGTTTTCACAGCCAGAATCCAAGACCCACATGATAAAATGGAAACATCTCAGTTGAGGAGCTCCAGCCATTCCTTCACTAGGCATCCCAGGGAAGGATGCACAGACCTCTCCAGAGGAGAATTTCCAACTAAGATTCCCCCATGCCATAGTGCTCTCTGAAAAACAATTTAGAGGAGGCACCTGATCACCCTTCAGACACGGCGAGGCACTGTTTGCTGGTGCTGCAGCCTTACGTCACAGCCTGTTTTGGAAGCCTATTTTTATACAACAGAGGACCTCACAGGCTGTCTTCTCAATAAAGGTTGAGCAGAAGTGCTATGGCATGATGAACTTTAAACAAAGCACTTCCAAACCACAAAGGGTCCATCTGTTCGCAACACAAGCTCATGGAGTGCCCATCAGATGATGCTCATGGTAGCCAAGAGCAGAAGATGCTGGGAGGTGACCAAGGTGATCAGCCCACCCAGCCCTGTCAGGGAAGTGTTAGGGCGGGCCTGGGCAGGCTGGGTCTCTGAGCGCTGCTGGCCAGGAGAACTCAGGCTCTAAAGCACCAGGCAGCGGGTCCCAAGGAGGAAAAAGTTATACATACAAGCACTCAAAAAACCTCCCCGTGTCCAGTGGCTTAAGCTAATCTGTCAGAGACAGCTCTTTCAAGCCCACGTGAAGGCTCTCCAGCACTGGTTACCTGTGTCACGCAGGACCCGTCTGTCAGCATGGAAGGACACAGGGAACTGCCCAGTGACGGTGATCCTCACGATGTGCGTGGGGGTGTTACCAAGAATCACATACCCAAAGTCCAGGAGGTACTCGGGCAGCTCCGCTCTGAAAGGAGGAGTAAGGACAGTCCTTAAACCATAGCCTGGCCACATTTCCAAGAGCATGAAAGATGCAAATAAAGTATTTCTGGATTCACTGCTGTAAAAAGTCAACTCAAGACCATGAAATCCAAGGCCTGACCACCTGGTAATAAGACTTTGGTAAGTCACGAGAAGCATAGGACCTAGGTTTTATCAGCTACCAGTGGGGCCTTAAAATAAAACTAGTTTAAAATGAATACTCATTTATCACAGCTCCTCTGCTATGGAAAGCCACTGTAGGTAAGTCCAGTGGACCTCCACTGGTCTCAGTGAAACTGCTAAGCCCCATGTACAGCCCCAGCCTGAAAGTGCTTCAGGACCTTGTCATAAGATTCGCCTGCACAGGAAATCTTCACTGCTCTGCAACCACATCTGTCCCCAAAGCAGCACCGACAAATGCGGTAATCAACACCTGCAAGATTCATGGGAGGAGCCTTTCCCAGAGCAATCTCACTCAGGAAAGCACATATGTGATCTGTTTTGCAGAGCATCTTCCCGAACTGGAGGCTACTGTGCCCGTGCCTTCTCATGGAGGAGCAGAGGAAGTTACTGAGGTAAGCCTTGCAGTCCCACCAGCATCAGAGCCACCTGATTTGTCAAGGGTGTGCCAGCCTCTGCGGTTCCCTACTCTTTTTGCTCAGTGTGGTCTGTTAGTGGGAACAAAGATTTGAGTTGCCTCTGTCAGAGCTGGTCAGCAGGGATGGTGTTGGTGCTTTCTGGAAGGGCTTTATGCTCTGCACTGGCCCCCCTCAGCCCTAAGAGCAGGACCCAGCGCCTGTGGGGAGCTGAGCACCTCCAAAGCTCAGGGTCACTCTGTGGCAGTGAGGACACTCAGCTGCTCACAGGGAGCATGGCAAAGCTACCAGGATCAGACCCTTTCTGAGGTCCCCACTACCCCCAGCTCTCAGGAGCAGGGGTGCACTGCTGGGTGTTACTCTCGGGGCACCTGGAGACAGGGTACGGGAGCCCCTACTAACTTGAGAAGCCTCTGACGAGCGCGCTGGTCAAAGGCAGTGGCCTCTGGGGGACCAGAGGTGAAGGCTTTCTGCTGCTCCAGGGCATGTTCTTCTATCAGCAGCTGCTCCATCTGCATCTGCAGCCCAGGGTCCAGCTGAGGGAAGGAAAGGCAGCGGCTGGTTAGCAACGGTCCTTCCCAAGGCTCCCCCCTGCTCGTGTTGAGAGGGGTGATGGGGTCCTTCTGTCTCACTGCTCAGTGTCTGTGACACCTCCTGCTCTCTCATTCAGGGCCTCATCTCAAGTACAATGAACTCCAGCAACTTTGCCTGCCCGGTCACTGTTACAGAAGCTGATCTGGCCAGACAGACAGACAAGCCAGGAACCTTCCAGAGCTCCAAGTCTTTGTCTGCTCCCAGCCAGTGTCAAAGCAGCTTGGACAAGAGCTCTCTTGTAAAGGGAGTCATCATAAAGCTGCTGTCTCTTGGAGATCAGCACTGGCAGCACAGTCCCAGAGCACAGCCAGGCTGCTGCTATTAAGCTCTGTAAACCTGGCAGGGCTTGAGTTGTGAGCAGCAAATAACCCCAGTGATGACCTACATCTCCATCACGAAGTAACATAAATTCAATCACTTGAGCAGGGTCTTCAGGATCTCTCCCTGGGGCAGCCCCGGGGCCACTGCTGAGCTGATGCAGGATCATGGGCAGGTGTGGGCAGGGAGGTCCCAAGTGCCAGCAGTGCCCTGGGAAGCCTGCTGTGGGCTGCAAGGGACCCAGTGACACTGGGGGAGGGTGGCACGCGTCAAACGGGGCAGCAGCCATTCTCACCATGGCGTCCAAGGGATCTGGGGGTGGCTCCGTGGCCACAGCCGCCCCCAGAACTGCTGCTTCCTCTCTCTGGCCATTTTCTTCCATCTTTTCTATCACCTTCTTGAGGACCTTCTCATATTTTTCATTTCCTGAAGGAAGAAAACATCCACAAATAGAAGCGTGGCACAGCGCCATTCCCATTGAAGCTGGGAAGCCCCACTCCCCCGACTCTGGCTTCTCCCAGAAACACCCTCCCCAAGCAATGTATGGAAAGTAGATGCTGCTTCTCCTCTATCAACCCTGATGTTCATTCCCACCCATCTTCCTCCCCACATAGAAGCATCTCATCCCCTGCAATGTGATGCAAATCCAACCCTGCCAAAATCCCTGCCAGCCTGTGCTCAGCTTTCCAGAGCATTTCTGTCTAGCATCACCTTCCCAGGACTCCGACATGCTGGCAAGCTCTGCAGGATGGTTCCTGGGGCAAAGCCCATACAGGCTCATCTACCAGAGCTTCAAGAAGCAACCGGGGGGTTGAGTGTTGGTCTGACAGCCCTGAAACCTTCAGGCTTGGTGGAGGCAGGTGTGAGCTGCCCTACGGGCATCTGACATGGGGGAGAAACAGGGGCCCCTCCTGGGGAGCAGACAGGCCGTGCTCACCTTTGATGTTCCTGGGCAGGTCCAAATAGATGCTGGGAAAGCTCCCCTCTCCTTTCAGGGAGATTTCTTCGGGCTCCAGGTGACCCACTTGGATCTGGAAAGTCCTGTGGAAGGCTCCAGGCACTCCTGGCAGGTAGTAGACTTTCAGGACTTGCTCCTTGCCAGGTACAACATAACCCTGCAGGGTGTGGGAGAAGAGGGAGGGAATGCACCAGAGAGGGTTTGGTGGACAGATGGCTCAGACGACAGACACATCGAGAAGAGAAGGCAGGTTCTCATACATAAGAAAGTATCAGACAACATCGCCTTCTAGCTTTCTTGTACCCATAAGCTGAGGTCTCCTACACCAGGTCCTTCGGAGGGCCTATAGGGATGCATTCCCCCAGGACAGACCCACAGACCACCCCCTGCTCAGCATGAGGAGAGCTCTGCCCCTAACAGTGTTTACCCTCTGCTAGCAAGAGCCAGACTGAAGAAATAAAAGCTCTTTTAGCAGGCACTATGCAAAATAAGTGAAGTGCCCACACTCTCAGCATGGCCAGCAGCTCCTGCCACAGCACATCAGCAGTTCCCAGGCTGGTGTTGAAGGGCCTGACCCCTTATAATGCTTCCAACCAAATACCTCCTGCCTGTGCGGTTACACTGGGGTGCGTGAGCCTATCCAGACTCATGTGACCTGCAAATATGCATCTCTGGAAAGGCAGGAGCAGAGACTAGGACGAGATCTAGGGAAGCTGTTGCCAGGAAGGGCATCTCCTCTCCGGGCTTCCAGAAAGGCTGCCCCAGCCCCAGGCTAGGCTCACGCCAGCCAGGCTGAGAGCAAATGCAAGCAGACAGCAACACAGCCCTGGGTGTTGGGACACAGCCGCACCTTCCCTTGGCTCGCTCCCTGCACGCTGGGCTGGACCCTCGGCTCCCCGCTCCCCTTCACGCTGCAGAGAGAAGCTGCTGAGCGGGACAGATCCTGCCACTTGGTGCCCTGAGCCCCTGGTGCAGCGCTGAACACAGCTGCAGTGAAAGCCAGCCTTGCCAAGCTGCCAGCGCCGGCGGGGCTGTTACAGCGACTGACTGCGTGGGGCCAAGCAGAGCTGGGTCTTGGGAAGCTGGCAGGAAGAGGGCGTCAGTGTGTCACCCCTTGTAGGAGACAAGCATGAGGAAATGTGAACGCTGTTTGGCTTCCTCTTCCCACTGCAAAAAGGGACTAGACAGGAATGCTGCTCCAGCTCAAAGACAGCCACGCAGGACTGAGAAGCTGGGACAGTGGGATGCTGCAAAATCCTCTCCTCGCTGTTCCAGCCCTGCTCCTGCCTGGCCCCCTCACTGCCCCACAGAGCTCTGCAGAGCAGCAAAGCTGAGGGAGTGGGGGACCGGCACAGGGGCTGCTACAATTTCTGCCAAAGCAGCTTCATGCCCAAGTGAGAGAGGATTTAAGTCCTGCTCAGTGCTGGCAGGGTCCTGGCAGGCTGTGCTATAGGCAGGGACAAGGACTAAGCCCTGTCCGATCCCACAGCCTGGGCACAATGACTCCCAGGAGAGCCGGCACAGCCCGGCCCCGGTGCCCGCACAGCCAGAGCACTCAGCAGTTGGGTCCCCAGAGTCATCGAAGTGCTGGTGCCTCCGGCCGGTGGCTGCTGTGTGACAGCAGGGTCACCCTCCGACAAAGGCCGTGAAGGGAGGTCGTTAGGACCACGCTTGCTTGGAACCCCCCTGCCCTCCAGCAGCAGCTGCTTACAGCCCTGTCTCTCCTGGGGTTGCTTTCTTTCTTTTCTTCTTTTTTTTTTTTTTTTTTTCCCTTGGAATTTTTTTTTTTTTTTTTTTTCCCAGAGCCAGGGTCAATCACTCACCGTGCTGGGCAGGACCAGGGGCACGCCGGGCAGGGGGCTGTCTGCGGTCCCCATGCTGGGACTTAGCACCACATAGGTGAAGCCCATCTTCCCTCTGTTCTGCAGGGTGACCTCTGCTTCGATGACTTTGTTAAACAGCTGAAGAGAGGACAGAGGAGTGGCAAGTTGAAGGCACAGACCTGATACTGGGAACCTCCTTCTGCTTTTACTGGGATGCGAGCAAATGAACTCAACACAGGAGAAAAGCAGAGGCAGAGGAGGTACGGGCACTTGAGTCTCCCCGGTTAACCTGGGGAAGCCAACGCCACAGGGCACCCCTTAGCCCTACACAGGAACAGACACTGATGATGGCACGCAGAAGGGCAATGCCAACCACAGAGATCAGTCATAAGGAAAGCAAAGAGGAGACAAGCTCTCTGCACCTCGTGGTGTGTCATCTCACACCCAGCTGGAACAAAGGAGGTGGCATCAAGACACTGCAGAAGAAAAAGCACCTGCAGCGACAGCAAAATGGGAGACAGGGCCAACAGCTGGAAATATCTGTGGGGTTTTTGACCGAAAAGAAGTGGGGATTATTCTAGGACATTCTCTCCAGCTACAGTGATTGGGAAGCCCAAGTTAACTTCCTCCCTGGTTTATTTTGCTGATTAATCAAGAACTTTAAAAGAGAGCACCTCCTGGGGCCTTAGGCTTTAAGAGCAGATCAGCAGATGGATGTCTTGGGGCACATCCCTCTGGAGATCACTACTGGGACCCTGCCTGCCCCAGGAGGCGGCATTAGTTCCCTTGAGGAGGAAGAATTCCCAGCTGGACGGGGGTGGAGATGGCCATTAAAAAACAGCTTGGATACAGGACATATTACTCCAAGGTTGTACTTCCAAGCCATAGAGCCAACAAAGTAGTTGGGAAGGGGAGAGAGAGCCCCAGCCCTAGGTGACAGCAACCCGCCAGTGAGGATTTCATGACAAGGACCTCTGCCAAGGGAAGCTGTGGTACCTGCAGCCCGCAGTCGATCTCCGTGATGTCTAGGAGGTAGTTGATGAGTGAAGCCTCCCCGCTCAGTGCAATCTCGTAGGTCGGGCCTCCCTCCACCCTGCACAGTGCTGTGACGTGGGCGATGATATTTGTGTGGCCAAAGAAGGTGAACATGACCCGCTGGCTCTCACCTGGCTGCAGCACACCGTAGAGCGGCAGGACATCGAAAACCTGGAGGTAGGCGAGGAGAGATCAAGATGTCGAGCATGGAGATTGATGCAGAAGAGCAGCCACGGCTTGGAGCAACATATAGATGTGGCTGGATGGGGGGGTCTTCCTCAAACACAGGCAAAATCACCCTAACCTCATCCTGTACCCATTCCACTTACCAGTGGAGGGGCCATGGGAAAAACCTTCTCCCGTGCTCCCTCATTAATTAAGACACTATATATTAAAAGTAATTTTGGATGTCTCCTGGCAGCAAGAAATTCTCTCCACTGCAGAACATGCCTTTAAAAGCACCTTTTACTGCCTTAAGCAAAACAGAGTATTCAGAGGTGAAAACTCTTAGAGCTGGGGGGAGGACTCCAGCCCAGCTCATCTGACTCCTGATGCTTTTCATTCTCTCTCAAGATGCTACAGCAAAAGCTACTGCAGAATTTCCTGTTGACCACTTGATTAGCAACAAGATGAAGAATGCCCTCCATAGCTGCTGCACAGGTCAACCCTACGACATGTCCTGCGTGGCCTCTCCAGTGACCAGTTGCTTCAGCAGCGCTGTGCGATGGGCTTGGAGGGATGCGAGGCCACTCTGCGAGCAGCATCGAGGGCCACCAGTGGGGAGGGGGGGCTACAGAACTGCTTGCCACACTGGAAACGTGGCACAAGACGGATTCCCACTTACCTCCTCCATTCCCAAGCTGACGGGCTCTGCCTCCACAAACTGCATCTGTTTGTTGATCCCCACCAGGCTCTGTGTCTCCATAGCCCCTTCCAGCTCCTCAGCAGGGGATGTCAGCACCTGCAAAACAAGGACCATGGGCTGCAGCGAGCAGCTGGCTGGTCTGGGTGAGACCACTCTGCTGGAGGCTCCGCCACCTCACCCAGCCAGGAGCAGCTGAGATGGGACCTGGGTGCAAATCAAGTACAGGTATGTCCGTGCCAAGCACCGAGTGTGGGTCCAAGCCCACCCACAGGTGAGACACAGGCTCCGCCTGCACTTCCTACACGCAAGTGTGCATGGGGAGGCTGAGTCCACCTAGCCCTCAGTCCTGGCAGAGACCTCAAGGGCATTTTGCACCCTTGTGCCAGACCAGCTTTGCTCACTCCTGCCCAGGGAACGTGCCCAGAACCCCATGCCTCGACAGGTTAGGTTCTTCAGGACAAAAGCAGGAACACAGCTGCAAGCGAGAAGTATCAAACCAGGAAAATAAGGTCTTGGCACAACTATCCAATTTCAGAGAGTGCTTAGGTTTCATCTCGTGCACCCATCAGTGCTGGAGAGCTGAGGATCTCCACCAGGTCACTCTCTTGAATGACACCTTCCTGAAGAAGGTGGCAGAGATGTTCTTCTGTCTTGCAGCAGCTGAGAGCTGGTGTTTGACCTCAGAGGTGCCATCTTTCAAAAGGAACCTCGTCCCTGGGCTTCTGACCCCTATTTAATAAGCAAGGGCTTTGTGAGTGCTTTTGAAGTGTGGCAATACCTGCTTCTTCAGTAACGTGAAGAAGTGCTTTGTTCTGGGGCCTTGGCATCAGGAGAATCTGCAAGAATTTTTAGGGGACATCTTTACACCTAATCAGAGGCTACATCTCCCCGGTAGATGAAGCTCAGAATCAGAAGATTCAATGCTCTTTCTCTCATCTCCACATTTTCAAGCCTAGCAAAGCTTCGCCAAGCACCTATTCTCAAAGATTCTAACCTACATCTTTCCTAGGCCTATGGTCTCCCACCTCCCCAGGGAGGTTATGTGGATATTGCCTTGACACAGTCACACAAGCAGAAGAGGAAGCTGCAATCCAGACATAACCTTTGAAGCCTTTTGGATCCTACTTAGCCACATCTACTTGAATTTCTCTGGTTTATTTCTGTATACATGGCAACAAAGCAGGAAATAAAGATGATTTCATGCTTCTATCCAAAAACATTCAGCCACGCTATTCTTTACGTCTACGGGGTATCATTTCTCCCGATCCAGAAAAAATGTGCTGTTATAATGTTAAAATGACCAAAGTTTGAATGTGAGCAGGTGCAACCCTTCTCCTTGAACTTAATGCCAAAGCCAGTGCTTTCAGAATTTGCCATGCTTTCTTGCATCCTCTTTTATTGTCCCAGGAGCAGCCTCTGTCCCACACAATGCAGAACAAGGTGCCAGTTCCCACTAGCATGGACATCAAGCTCCAAAGCACCAATGTTCATCAGGAAGGTCAGCAGACCAAAGGCCATTTTTCATGCCAGGAGGAAGAGACAGAGACTTTGAAAAGTCTCATTTTATCAAAGACAGCTCTGTGACCATCCCTGCGATACTGCAGGTCTTGGGTGAAGGCAGAGACATAGTAACAAGCGGCTCCATCTGGGGGTGAGAAGGTGGTACCTGGAGATCACAGTACTTGGCACAGCTTGATACAGGAAGGAAACTGGAAGCCTTCACATCATGATGCAGATAAAAGGCTCATTTTACAGTGTAAAAAAAAGCTAAAAAAAGCCAACTCAGCATAGGTCTGTAGGATCTCAGTGGGTTTCTCCAAGCAAAACTATCCAATTTCTCCCTCCCCAGAAGTCCCATGTCCAGCCCCTGGCCCTGCTGCCCAGCCGACCCTCAGAGCACATGGCAGCAGGGCAGCAAAAGGGGGGATTGGCACAAGCACGGCTTTTCAGTGGCAAGATGGGGGAGGCAACGCAAGCGGTAGGTGTACAAGAAAATCTACCTTTGCTTCCAGGGAGTCATCTGCTTCTGCTGGCTCCTGGGCAGGATCCCCTGCGGCTCCCAGGGCTTCAGCTGGCTCCTCCACACTTCCATCCCTGCAGCTGCTCCCTGCAGACACTGAGCGCTCCGACCAGGCTCCCTTCTCCTTTGGTGGTTGTGGTTTGGTGAAATATTTAGGTACTGGAGGGCTGAACCTGGAAAATAACATGACTTTGATTGTGGACGTGCAGTGGGAGGGAGGGAAGCCTGCACGAGCAGCTCCTCAGCAGGATGCGGCCCCCGGCTGGGCACTGCTGGTGTGAATTCAGTAACGGGTCTGAGCCAGCAGCTCCCAAACCAGGATGGAGCAGGTCAGCATATAGGGCTGCCTAGGGATGATGCTGGTGTTACGGCGGCGCAAGCAGCTGGCAACTGGTTGCAAGGAGAAATGGAAGAGGACATGGGTGAAAGCCTTGTAGGGAGGTAAAAATCAAGCAGGAAAGGAAGAGACACACAAACTGTGCAAAATGTGAGCCTGAGGCACAAAGGGGCAGATCTGGAGAGCAACAAACCAGTGCAGAGCCACCAGTGCCCTCCCGAAAGCACCCACAGTGCAGACTGGGCCTCCCCCACGCAGAGGGCCAAAGGAAGAACTTCTGCAGCTCTACCGGGTGCTAACCCAGATTATTTCCCCTGACACCACCCGCAGCTGCAGGTCAGCACAAGCAAGCAGCAGTGCCCGAGGCTTTCTCCAAGTGCGTAAGGCAGGAGCAGGGATAGAGCTTGGAGCCTGCTACGCCCTAACCCCGACAGAGCCCAGTGCCGTGCGGGGGCACCCACGGAGCCCGGCACGGGACACCCCCACACACGCAGGGCAGCGTGGAAAGACCCGCTGAGCAACTCCGGGCAGAGACTCACGGCTGAACAGCACATTGATCCCTGAGGAGCACCGAAGCAGCAGCGATCGGTGCTCTGGGGAAGGGAGCTTTGGGCATTTGTAATCAATACACAGCACACGCCGGTGACAAGGCTCAGTTCCCTGCTGTGCCACCGGGATTCCCTGGTGGTGAAACAACGGCTCCAGCCACACCTCGAGCTAAAAGGGCAGCAGCTCTACTGAAACAAGGCTGTAACCGACGTGGCACTTAACAATGGCATGATCACCTCCCCAGCAGCTTCTACACGCAAACCATTTGAGGACCAATTTGGCAAATTATTCAGCAAAGCAGTTCAAAAGCTCATCTTACTGACAGAACTGAGTTGATAGTCTGACCAACACGTGCCAGTAAAAAGTGTATGGTTTAACATTTTCAAACAGTCCCAGTGACTCAGACTACATTCCCTCTTTCAAATCGCAGCAGGTGCTCACAGTAACTCAGTTCACCCTTCGGATGCCCCCTGGAGAGACACGCTGGAACTGTGCCTGCCTGTCACCACACCTATCTGCAAGAGTTCTCGGGGGCAAATGAGCCCCATCCTTTACAGCAATGTGGGTGCTTCATTCCCAGCTGGGAACTCAGGACCTTTAACGACGTGCTCCCAAATGACTATTTGTCTCTGGCTTTGCAGTTTATCATTAAAGGCTGGTTTCCATTTCTGGATTAGAGGCTCTGCTCCTCACAACCCCCGAGAGATCCCACCTGACTTGTCCTTCCTGCAGCCACATGCAAGAACAAGGCTCTGCCCAGGTGAGCTGCCCCAAGCAGGGACCGATGAGCAGCAACGCTGTCACCTCTTCCCAGCCCCCCCTCTGCCTGCTACTGGGACCCCATGGGGGACCCCAAAGGCCACCTCAGCACCGTCCACGTGGAACAACAAAGCAGGGCTGGAGGGGACGAAGGCACGCGCTTGCCCCTGCAGAGCATCGCCCATCTCCAGTCCCACCAGTGCAACCTTCCCTCCTCTCAGCCGAGGCGCCTTAACAAGGATTGGGGTGCCCCGAGGGGTGACCCACCTGCTCAACACCTCCAGCAGCCACTAACTTGGGCATCTGCCTCAGGGTGAAATCAATCCAGCTCATCTGCAACAACGGTGCCTCCAGGCAGCCTGCAGCTGAACACTGCCTGTCCCTGGTGACAGGGAGATGCCCCCAGCGCAGGGGCAGACACATCCAGGGCCAGGAGCACCTCGAAGCCCTCCAGCGACACAACAGTCCATGCACCAGTTCAGCCCACGGGTCTGGCCATTGTCATGGTGATTGTCCCCAAACTGCTAGCTGTGACCCCTCCTAGCCAGGAAATGAAAGAGCAGCTCTCAGAGCTGCTTCTGATAAATACTGCAGGTTAAGAACAGCTCCTGAGGAGAAGTAAACCCCTGAGATGCAAAATCCATAATCACTTATGAAATTACCCTCATTTGCATAGAATGGCTTGAGACAACTTCAAGGGATCGTGGTGCCTAGACAACAATATTTTTCACTCTAAAGCAGAAATCTCTGGGACCTGGTGCTGGGAGCTGATGTGATTAGTGAGTCCTGCTCTGGAGAAGCACAAAGCATGGTGAGGGACTTTTTCCGTTCCTCCCTCCCTTTCTTTTCATGTTCCATTTCTTATTGTTCATTTGTGAGGGACTTTTTCCAGTGAGGGAAATCAAAATGAACAATAAGAAATGGAACATGAAAAGAAAGGGAGAGAGGAACCCAAGGTGTCAATAGAAAGCTGACCCCTGGGACAAGAAATCTTCGTGGTGCTGAAAGGGGTTGTCTTCAAAACGAAGAAGAAAGGGGAAGATAAGATGCTCAGCATCAGCCCAAGCTTTAGGCAGCTCTTCCCCTCCAGCACCTCCTGGTCAAGGCTGTGAATGCAGGGAGGAAGGCAAGGAGCAGAGAGCAGCTCCTCCACCTGCAGAGAGGACCTATCCCAAACTGGAGGGGCCGAAGGGCTGCGGACATGCCTCCATCAGCACTGTGGAGCTGCGAGACGGAGCCTCCTGACATAAGCAGGTCAGCCTGGAGCTGGAGGGGCCGAAAGCAAGGGGTTAAGTCGTCAGGTCCATCTCACCCAACCTGGCCACCCCTCAGGTGACACAAAATGCATCCAGGAATTAACAGTGGGGATTTAATGACAGTGCGGGCAGATTGACACCAGGGGGAGAGGAATCCTTCCTGGTAAGGTCAGGACAGCCTTGTGTCACCCACTGTCCCCAGCCTCGGAGATGTTGAAAGAAAATATCTCAGTCTGTCTCTTGGTTTCTGAGCCTGCTAGGGCCACAGCTTCCCACACCCACCCCACCCCCCCAGAATAGAGGAGCTAGAAATCACACCGCTTCTGCAAACTTCATGTGAAGATTCACACAGGATGACGTGACCCGGCCAGCTGAGGCTGTGCGAGAGCCAGCAACATGAGGACCATCCCCCCAACCCTGCAGTGCTGCAAGAGGAGTGCCCCATCTCCCCACAGCCCCGGCCAGCACCAGGGACAGGAGCCAGAAGCCACCGCCCCTTTGCATGAAATGCAAGAGTTTTAACAGTGCTGAGACTGCTTCCCTAGTGCACGGCACCCACGTGTGGAGCATCCTTGCCCAGGCCCCCAAGGACCACCCGCTGGTGCCCCCACTATCCACGGCACTGGGTTAAAACGAGCCTCCCAACAAAGCACGAGCTCTTCTCAGGTCATCACAGGGAAAAGCACCCGAGACCGCATGCCCATGAGGCACCCGAACAGCCTACAGGCCCCTACAGTGCACTTTTATTTCTCCTTCTGGCCATCAGATTCATATTAAAAAGGCACTTTGGAGCCATCTACAGACAGCTCAAGGGTGTTTGCAGCTGAAAACAAAATAATGTAATACAGGCACAAACCAAAAGCCTTCCCAGTGCACTGTGTGGGAACACTGGGCTTGAGCTGGGCCGGCTGGCCAGCAGCTGAGGAAGGCAGTGGCGAGGGTTTGCCCTCATCAAGAGTGACTCTTGAACAGCATTTCATCCAAATGGCCCTGAAGCTGATTTCTTTGTTGGGATGAATTCCCCTGCTGAGCTAAGGTTTGTGTATTTACTGAACCACCCACTGAAATTCAGGTGCGGTGAGACCCGACACCTCCAACTCCTGCCTTGCACTCGCTGCAAGGGATTAAGCTGGATTTGGCATTCATCTAAATCCAGCGAGCAGTCTCACTGTGACCAAGTATTAATTAACTCAAAGTTCATATGCAATTTCAACAGCCACTTACTTATCCAAGTCAAAAACATGTCAGCTTTGAGAGATGAGGGAGAATTTTGATTTCTTGTTTGAAAGCAGAAATTGTGTGGGAATGGATGCAGCAGAATTGAAGTGTCTCACCTTCCTGGGTCAGCAACCAAAGCTCTCCAGCACCTTGAAGCAGGAGCCACAGGATTTGATTTTTGGATGCACAAGATTCCTTGGCTCCTGCTGAAGCCCACAGACCTTGGCCATCCCATCACTTTAGATGAGAAGAGTCAGAGGGGGGTCTGAGGCCCCTCAAGCTCCATCTGACAGGGCTCATGCCTCTCCCAGAGTATTTCCATGGGATGTGGCTGGTCCAATTTTGCAGGGGAGAGGCACTAAAGCTCCTCAGGCACTTTGGTTCAACCGAAGCTGGACCAGGGCCAGCCACCACTGGCACTGCAGACACAGCAGCTCTTTGTGCAGATCACCCTGAGACAGCAGTACTTCCCTCTCTTGAGAGGTCACAGCCCTTGAAGAAGTCTCCACTGACTTTACTGGAGTTATTCTGACTTGCACTGCTTTTACAGATGGCTAAACACGACCCAGTAAGTCCTCTCCTTCCTCATGCTTTGCACATCAGCCAGGCAATTTATAAGCATCAGGTGAGCTCCTGACTATCAGATAGAAAAATGCTTCTCAATCAGACTCTGGCCAGAGGTCCCTCTGAACAAATCAGCAGCTCTAGCAATAAATATAATTGTAGTCTTTGTTCAAAATTAAACAAGCCCTGACAGCTGTATTTTGCAGATGCTATTTAAAGTCATCCGCACCAATTACAATTGTACCAGCTGCTTCAAAAATCAGCTCTGCCAACAGACGACTGTATTGATTCCCATGACTGATGCTTGGCAGGCCAGTTTCACCCTAAAGGAAGCCAAAAAGCAGCTCAAGCCTGACCTGAGGCATCCTGGGGGTTGAGGACCAGCAGGTACCTGGGCTCTGCCCAGGCACCCATGCACTCTGGGTGCCTTGTTGCACCCAACGGCAGCACGAAAAGACCTTGCAACCCCCAGCCAAGCACCATCCAGAGC